TTTCTATTGATCTCGAAGTTAGAACTCTCCTTCAGTCTCCAGCTCTGGGACAAGGTTATTTTGGTAGTTGAGTCATCCCAGCAAGGGACTGGAAGGAAGAGGGGGTTAGGAACTTCCCCCTCAGGCTTCACTGCCACACATACACCATCATGTTAAATGACGGTGTTTCACTCTAGTACACTTACTCTTCTTCTTTTTTTTTTTTTTAATTTTTTAATGTTTTATTTATTTTTGAGAGGGAGATAGAGACAGGATGAGCAGGGGAGGGTCAGAGAGAGAGGGAGACACAGACTCCGAAGCAGGCTCCAGAGCTAGCTGTCAGCACAGAGCCCGACACAAGACTCGAACCCATGAACTATGAGATCCTGACCTGAGCTGAAGTCGGACGCTTAACCGACTGAGCCACCCAGGCGCCCCTAGGACACTTAATTTTAATAAAATGACTCTCTTTTACAGTCTGATTTAGCTGAATGAAACATATTTTTGCTCCTGTTTTTGCTTTAAATACTATTTGAATTACAGTATTTGGAAAAGAAAATGCTTAAGAATAGAATCTTTAGAGTTAAAGACAGATACTGAACAGAGCCAAAAGCGGCTAGTGATCAAGAGTGTGGTCGTGAGTATAGAAACCAGGTCTCAGAAGATCAGAGGGAAGAAGAGCCAGAAAGGCAGCATATTACTAGATCTGGCCCTGAGGAGGAGGAGGAAAACAGAATGGTGGCCAGAAAAGAATAGTATATCTAAGGGGTTTCTTTGGAATTTGGGACATCTATAGATACCCCACAAAATTATTTATAAAAGGAAAATTTGAAGAAAGTTAATTCATTAAATTTTAAAATAATGTAATTTTTATGGGGCGCCTGGGTGACTCAGTTGGTTAAGTGTCTGACTTCAGCTCAGGTCATGGTCTCATGGTTTGTGGGTTCCAGTCCTGTGTTGGGTGCTGTGCTGACAGTTCAGAGCCTGGAGCCTGCTTTGGATTCTGTGTCTCCCTTTCTCTCTTTCCCTGTCCCTTTTATGCCCTGCCTCATTCTCTCTGTCTCTCAAAAATAAATACTAAAAAATGAACAAAAAATAATTAAAAAATCACATTGATGTCTGTTATTAAAACACCAGAAACCCTATTTCTTCACTCCTCTGTCACTATCTCTAACATGTGTGCTTACTGATTATGGAGGTTCAGGGCCTCACATCAAAACAGGTGGCATTTATTAAATGCTTCTTAGGTCCCTGGTAGTGTGCTAAGGTTGTAACAGTAAGACCATCCCCAAGTGAGATATGAGCAAGGTGGTCATTGTTTGTGTATTCCAACTGCCAGTATTTCTTTTCGCTTTATTTACTGTAGTTTGAATCAAGACTTCGATTTTCCAAATACAGAATTAGAATTCTGTCTTTGCTTATTTCAAGCATATAACATGCTAACACTCTGCTCCTTCTCCAATTCTGATTTTTTTTTTTTTTTAAATCTCCCTAGATGGGGATGGGACGGGATGGGACGGGACGGGATGGTGGGTCTTTCCCCTCCAGGGCCACATTCACTGGTTGCCTGTTAGCAATGTTTCTCTAGCCCCTCTGGAAGTTAATGGGTTTATAGGAAGTGATCAAATAACTTAGGAGAGTTTAGACCACGTGAAGCAGGGTGGTTTGTTATTTGTTTTAAAGTGTTAATGTGAAGAGTGTGGCAGTTCTTGAAGTAGGTATGGGGATCCCCTGGAGATTCTCTGAAAACATTTTAGAGTGTCTGCAAAGTCTAAACTATTTTTGTAATACTATTAAGACATTACTTTTTCCATTCTCTCTCATGAATGTAAAGTAAAATTTTTTTAGACATGTGATATCACAACAGAACAAATTCAGAAAGATATGTGAAAATTTCAAAAAATGTTACCTGTATTCACATGTAATGGGCTTTTTCCCCCATTTTTTTTTATTGTGCTAAGATACACATAACAATTTACCATTTTAAGTGTATGGTTCAGTAGTATTGAATATATTTATAATGTTGTGCAGCCATCACCTTTGTGTATCTCCAGACTTTTTTTTTCTTTTAGATTTTTAAGGTTTATTTTATTTTTGAGTTATATATAGAGACAGAGCATGAGCAGGGGAGGGGCAGAGAGAGAAGGAGACATAGAATCTGAAGCAGGCTCCAGGCTCTGAGCTGTCAGCACAGAACCCGATGTAGGGCTCAAAGCCATGAATCATGAGATCATGACCTGAGCTGAAGTTGGATGCTTAACCCACTGACCCACCTGGGCGCCCTATCCAGATCTTTTTTTCATCTTGTAAAGCTGAAACTCTGTACCCATTAAACACTAACTCCCCATTTTTCCTTCCCCCTTCTCCTGGCATCCCCCATTCTGCTTTCTGTGTCTATGAATGTGAACTCTCTAGGAACCTTATAAAGCGGAATCATACAGTATTTGTCCTTTTGTGTCTGGCTTATTTCATTTAATATAATGTCCTCAAGGTTCATTCATGCTTTAGCATGTTTCAGAATTTTCTCCCTTTTTAAGACTGAATAATTCTCTACTGTATGGAGACATCACATTAGGCTTATCCATTCATCACTTAGTGGACACTTACGGTGTCTTCCATGTCTTAGTTATTGTGAGTAATACTGCTATGAACATGCTGTACAAATGTCTACTTAAGTCCCTGCTTTCTGGATACATACTCAGAAATAGAATTGCTCGATCATAAGGTAATTCTGTTTTTAATTTTTTTGAAGCACTCTACTGTTTTCCACAGCTATACCATTTTACATTCCTACCAGCAGTGCACAGGGTTCCAGTTTCCCAACATCCTTATCGCTTATTGTTTTCTTGAGGTTTTTGTTTGTTTGTTTTGTTTTTTTATGGTAGCCATTTTGATGGGTGTGAAGTGGCATCTTGTAGTTTTGATTTGCCCTTCTCTAATGAGCAGTGATGTTGAACATCTTTTTTATGTGCTTACTGGCCATTTGTACAGTTCACCCTTGAACCAACAGTTTGAACTGTGCAGGTCCAATTTATACATAGGTTTTTTTCAATAAATACAGTAGTACAGTACTATAAATATATGTGTTAAGAAAATATAAAAGTTTCTTAATAACACTTTCGTTTCTCTAGCTTACTGTATTTTAAGAATACGCACAACATACAAAATATGTGTGTTTATGTTATTGGTAAGGTTTCAACTCAGCAGTAGGCTTTTAGTACTTAACTTTTGGGGGAGTCAGAAGCTATTCATCGATATTCTGTTGTGCCGGGAGAGGTGATACCCCTAAACCCCGCATTGTTCAAGGGTCCACTGTATATATCTTCTTTGAAGAAATGTCTCTTTCTTCCTTTGTCTACGTTTGAATTGGGCTTTTGCTGTTGAGTTTTAGGAGTTCTCTATATGTTCTGAATATTAATCCCTTATCAGATCTTTGATGTGCAGATATTTTCTAGCATTCTCTGGGTTGCCTTTTTATACTCTGTTGATACTGTCTTTTGATATACAAAATTTAAAAATTTTGTGAAGTCTGATTTGGCTATTTTTTCCTGTGCCTTTTGTATCATTGAAGAAATCATTGACCAGTCAAGTGTTGTAAAGCTTTTGCTGTATGTTTTCTTCTAAAAGTTTGGTAGTTTGTTTTTTTTTTAATAATTTTTTTTAAAGTAGGCTCCACACCCAACGTGGGGCTCGAAGTCACAACCCCGAGATCAAGAGTTGTGTGCTCTACTGACTGAGCTAGCTGGGTGCCCCAAGAGTTTGATAGTTTTAAATCTTACATTTAGATATTTGATTTACTTTGCAGTAATTTTTATAGATCATGTTAGTTAAGAGTCCAACTTCATTCTTTTGCATGTGGATATCCAGTTTTCCTGGCACCATTTGTTGAATATTATTATGTTGAAATGAATGTTATTATGTTCAGTACTTACTTTTACAATTTCTCAGTTTTCATTTGTAATAAGGTAAATATTGATATAATCCACATTTGGGTTCATCAGTAATCTTTAAGAGTATAAAGGAGACCAAAAAGTTGGAGCACCATTGACAGAATCTTCAAGTGTTTTCCCCAGACTTTGACTATAGTCCGTTTCTTCAGTGGTGCTTCTTATTGGATCTGTGTCCTGAAGGATGCATAGTAGAATACGGCTTCATCACTGTGGGGTGTGGTCATTTGTTGTTCTGGACCTCAGATGCAAAGCTGAGTTAATTATGCTCCCCAGTTCATGGCAGTTGCTCTCTTCACTTAATTTCCTTCCATTCGCTATTGTCACACTGTCCCCTCATTCTGGATATCTATAGACCCTAGAAATCACTTTAAAAAATTATTTTTTAATGTTTGATTATTTTTGAGAGAGGGAGAGACAGAGCCTGAGCGGGGGAGGGGCAGAGAGAGAAGGAGACACCTATCAAAAGTAGACTCCAAGGCTGTGAGCTGTCAAGACAGAGAGCCCTACGCGGGACTCGAACTCATGAACTGCGAGATCATGACCAGAGCCAAAGTCAGACGCTTAACTAACTGAGCCACCCAGGTGCCCCTAGAAATCAGTTTTATTCTGGTAATGACAACTTACCAGATAAGGATGCTGCTATAGGTCCACTTAGTAAATACTAGTAAAACTGATTTTTTTTTTTTTTTTAAAGATAAACACATATAACTAGAAGTTATAGTTCTTTCTTCCTGTATCTTAGTGGCTTGTTTTTAGACTGCTTGGGGTTTACTCACCCCTTTCTGAACAAAAGCTTCTGGGTGACCCATTTGTTGCCACTGTACATGTTTCACTGGGTTAGCCTACAGGTTGTTCTGGAACTAGTCCCTTTTCCTTCTTTACCTAAAGGACTTCTCTTTTTTTTTTTTTTTTTTTTTAATGTTTTTAAAGTTTTCAGATTGAATCCAACCTATTGGTTCATATATTTACTCAATTATCAAGCTCTTACGGTGTGTAAGACACTCTGAGCAATCTGTAAAAGCTGTACTTCCTGCCTTTGGATCCCAGAGTCAGATAAAATTAAAATATTGGATTGCTTCTCAGCCTTTTGGCTAAGATCAAGTATAGTATCTGTTTTTATCAGTTTAATTTCTGCTACATCCTCTATCTGAGGACAATATATTAAATGGATTTTTGGAACTAGGAGGTGAAATAGGAGCTTGCTTCATCCACTCCACACATCCACTTGGTATCTCAGTACCTCCAGGAACAGTGCAGCCATCCCCACCCCCACCCAAGGGGAATTATAAACATTAAGTATTGGTAAATAGGTAATAGGAGATTTGGTTCATTGTCCTGTATTTTTAGAAGTGTTTTCATTGTATAATCTCTGTCTGTCTGTCTCTCTTTGTCTCCTTACCTTGTGGGAGATTTTTCTCCCCACGTCTATAAGTAACTTAAATATAAAATGTTCTAACAATACTCGTATTTGCATGAAGCCCCTCTTTTCAATTACAAAATATTTATAAAATATAAAATATTATAACTAGTTGAGTTTTAGTTTTTTAGGTAAATGCCCACATGTTTGGGCATTTACAAAACTATTATCAGTTAGTTTATAATTACCAAATTCTTAAAGTCTATAAATATTTATTTATTTTTTTCTAGGTTGCAATAAAAATAATTGACAAAACTCAGTTGAATCCAACAAGTCTACAAAAGGTAAGATTGGTTCAGTATCCAGTGTTATAATGATTTTCAGTGTAAATTGCCATCAAATTTGTCCCTTCAGTACTTCAACTGTTATTTTTCATTATTATGTTTAGTACAGTAAAGCTGCCTCTATGAATGCAACTGAGATGTAGTATTGTATAAAATGTTGGATTTTTTCCCCTTCAGATGAAGATAATGATTAAATTTTAAATGTTCTTAATAGCACAAACTGAAAGCTGTACATTTTAGTTGAATATCAACTAGAACAGAGTTTTTAAAACATATTTTTGTGTAATTACTCTTAATGTAGAGTTATGCACCTTTCTTATAGCTAATACTGAGGTCTTTAAAGTCAGCACTTTGGCTTTATTAAACTCTGTCACTATGTCTAATTAAGGACTGATGATTAATTCATAGGAAAATATAAAAATGAAAATGATAGTTGAAAGACATATTTGTAATGCACGGTTGCCATTTGTATCATCTAATGGAGATCTGAAATTCTCCACTCTGGTGCATGTTAGAATGCTATGGATGTCTTCTGAAAGTCTTGATGACTGGCCTAGAGAGATTTAATCGCTCAGATTAGGCCCTTGACATAGGTATTTCACTGGCGCATTAGTGAATGATTAATGATCTTCATAATAAACTCCTTCTTGTTCTTTTTAGTCTTGCAAAGCCTTTTAACATACTTTGATTTCTAGATTTGGCCAATCCTAGCTGGGGTTTTAGAGACCTTGAACTAGGAACAGGTAGGCCTAATTTATGTCCTGACTCTGCCACTTAGTGGAGTGTCTAACTTGATCTCAAGCTGTCTCAAGCTAACTTTCTTGATTTTGGGTTTCTCATCTTTAAAACAGAGATAATTTCATCTGCTCAGGATGGGTGTATTAGTAAAATAATGCACTTAAAAGAGCTTTATAAACTGCAAAGCATTTCTCATGTAAGATACTGTAAGCATATTGCCCTGTATAAGTATAAATTCCTAATGCTTTCCTAATGGTTGTTTTTCACTTATATTATGGTAATTTTGAAGTCCTGTTTGTGTGTGTGTGTGTGTGTGTGTGAGTGTGTGAAGTAGGAGGGAGGGAGTTTATCTTGTACTAAAAATGGTAAGCAAGTGGTTCTGCAGGCCAAAGTGAGTCTTAATGGCACTCAGGGTGGTCCTGGAATGATCCAAAAATTGCAGTTATTTGTTCTGAAGATAAAATTGTGTCCATTACTTTAAACTTTAATTTCTTCATATATCTAAGGACTTGGTATTAATAAGTAAGTTAGGGGTTAATAAATTTGGTATTCAGAACTAAAATCAGTATATAAGAAGTTTATTGAGGATTCTAGTTCAATATACTGTACTTTGGATATTGACTCCTTATTGGGTATATCGTTTGTAAATATCTTCTTTCGTTTAGTAGGTTGCTTTATTGTTTTGTTGCTGGTTTCCTTTGCTGTGTAAAAGCTTTTTATTTTGGTGTGGTCTCAGTAGTATAATTTTGCTTTTGTTTCCCTTGCCTGAGGAGACATATCTAGAAGAATATTTCTATGGCCAATGGCAAAGAAATTACTGCCTGTGTTCTAGGAGTTTTATGGTTTCAGGTCTGACACTTAGGCCTAAATCTGTTTTGAGTTTATTTTTGTGTGTGGTGTGAAAAAGTGGTCTGTTTTCATCTTTTTTTTTTTTTTTTTTGGAAGAAGCTTCATCCTATTTTGCAGATGGTTTCATCTTTTCCGTGTAGCTGTCTAGTTTTCCCAGCACCATTTATTAAAGTATAGGGCATTGTTTTAAATCGTGTGTATTAGTTCATATTCTTTTTTTATAAATTAAAAGTGTTCTCTATATATCTCTTTACAATTCTTTTTCACTGACTTCCTTTTCCATGGAAAGTTGCCGCAGGGTAGAGTGTACCTGGCATCTTTGTCTTTGGGGTGGTACATCATACAGCCTTCGTTCAGCACCTACACAGTTATATCACTGTGACATCTGTATAAGAGGAACTCTCTTTACATAATACGATTTTAAGCCTTGAAGCTTAGGGCACTGCCTTAGAAGCTAACATTCACGTTAAGGAACATTCTGCCATTAACAAAATGTAATCTTTTGTACTGCCATTTATCAAAAAATGTGGGCTGGCTCATTCAAGCAGTTTTTTTTTGTTTTTTTTTTCTTTCCTCAAGCAGTGTTTTATCACAGGTGTTAGAATAGTGTCACATTATTCAGGCTTGCACATTGAATCATGCACATTTAATAAATTCATATAAGGAAACCTGAATTGATTGCACATTTGTAAACTGATGTTATTTTCATAGACAAGTCTCTTCATTTTTTCCTTTTTATTTTTCCAGCTATTGCATTAATAAACGTTAGATTCTAGTAAGAGATATTTTTCTCCATTGTTTTTGTACTTTTCAACTTTGATCTACTATTCCTAAGATGTTTTCTCTTTATAAATGTTTTTGGTTATCCTTTTTTTTTTTTTTATTAAGGTCAGTCTTTTTTAGTGTTGTGTACCTATAATGGTTTTGATAGCAGCAGTGTAAGAAATATGTTAGTCATCTTTTTGGTTTACAAAGTCATTTTTAAATTTGATTTGATTATATGCAAGTAATCTTGTTGGGTTTTATTTTAGTCTATCATTAAAAAGCAAGTTATGGCTCATTTTTAAAAATGTATTTACCTATTAAAGACATTCTAGTATACTTGTGTAATCCATCTAAAGTTTTTACTGTTCTTTGTCAGTCTTGGAGTAGAGTGTTAAACGTAACAGAGGGAGTATAGAGTGATGGTTAGGAATGTTATGAAGCCGGGCTTCATGGATTCAGATCCAGGCTTAAGCCAGCTTAGCTGTGTGACAAGTCACACAGGTCTTGGTTTCCCCATTTATAAAATGGAAACAATAGCAGTAAGATAATAGGACTGTAGTAAGAATTAAATAAGTTAATATTTTAATTATTCAAAAAAATTTTTTTTGAAAGAATGCAAGCAGGAGCAGCAGAGGTGGGGCGGGGAGAGAGTATCTCTCCACGCTCAGTCCTGAGCCCAATGCAGGGCCCTATCCCAGTGACCCTGGGATCATGACCTCAGTGGAAATCAAGAGTTGAACGCTTTAGCCTACTGAGCCACCTAGGCACCTCTTTTTTATTTTAAGTTTCAGTGTGAGTTCCAGTTAACATAAAGTGTAATATTAGTTTCAGGTGTTCAGTATAATGATTCAATATTTCCATACAACACCCAGTGCTCATCACAATAGGTGCATTCCTTAATTCCTATAGTCTTGTTTCAACCCTGCTCCCCCACCTCCATCTGGTGAACCATCAGAATGTTCTGTCTGTAGTTATGAGTCTGTTTCTTGGTTTGCCTCTCTCTTTCTTTTTTTCCCCTTTATTTGATTTTAAATTTCACATATGAAAAAAAAAATTCCACGTGAGTGAAATCATACGGTATTTGTCTTTCTCTGGCTGATTTATTTTGCTTAGCATTCTACTCTCTAGCTCGATCCACATCTTTGCAAATGGCAAGATTTCATATGGCTGAGTATTCCATTGTATGTATGTATGTATGTACATGTGTATTTATTCATTTATCAATAGTCACCTTGGCTGTTACCATAATTTGGCTATGGTAGATAATGCTGCTGTAAACATTAGGGATGCATGTATCCTTTGAATTAGTATTTTTGTATCCTTTGGGTAAATACTGAATTATGTGATTCCTGGGTTATAGGGTAGTTCTATTTTTTTTAAAAAAAATTTTAATGTTTATTTTTGAGAGAAAGAGAGACAGCATGTGTGGGAGCAACGCAGGGAGAGGGAGACACAGAATCTGAGACAGGCTCCAGGCTCTGAGCTGTCAGCACAGAGCCTGACGCGGGGCTTGAACTCATGAACCGCAAGTTCATGACCTGAGCCGAAGTCAGACACTTAACTAACTGAGCCATACAGGTGCCCCTAGGGTAGGTCTGTTTTTAACTGAGGAACCTCCATACTGTTTTCCAGAGGAGCTGCGCCAGCTTGCATTCCTACCAAGAGTGCAAGAGGCTTCCCCTTTTTCCACGTCCTCACCGACACCTGTGTGCTGTGGTGTTGGTTTTAGCCCTCTGATAGGCACGAGGTGATATCTCATTGTAGTTTTGATTTGCATTTCCCTAATGGTAAGTGATGATGAGTTTCTTTTCATGTGTGTTGGCTATCTGGCTGTCTTCTTTGGAAAAATGTCTGTTCATGTCTTCTGCCCATTTTTTAATTGGATTGTTTGGTTTTTAGGTGGTGAGTTTTATAAATTTTTATAGATTTTGGATACTAGCACTTTATTGGATATGTCATTTGTAAATATCTTCTCCCATTCAGTAGGTTGCCTTTTAATTTTGTTGATGGTTTCCTTTGTTGTGCAGAAGCTTTTTATGTTGCTGTGGTCCCAATATTTTATTTTTGATTTTGTTTCTTTTGCCTCAGAAGACCTATCTAGAAAGAAGTTATTACATCAATAAGTTAACATTTAAAAGCCCTTAAAAGAGCAGAAAAATGATACCTGCGCACAATGAGGACTGAATGAATTCTTGCTGTTACTGTGTGT